CGGCAGCCACTGAGCAGCGCCAGATCGATGTTGCTCTATCCCTTATTTTGTTGAACGCCAAACAAGGTAGCAGCAACTCCCGTCTTTTCATGTCTTTTGGTATGACGCGGCCGGGTTCGACCCACGACCTCCCGGTTGTGAGGCAGACGCTCTACTTACTGAGCCAACACACCGGTCAAAATCAATTATTATAAATTGATATCTTTCAGGAATTCTTAACTTTTATTCTATTATAATTTTTTTTTTTTTTACTTCTCTTAACTCTTCAATAATTTATCTATCCATGTTTTCAATGCTATAATTTTATTTGTAATAATTTTCTCTTTAAAATGCATTGACTATTGATATCAACATGAATCCTTTCAGTGTGACTTTAAAGGTAAAGACCAGTTATGGTCATGCGATTGCATTGTGAAAGGAACGTTGTGGAATCGATCAGAAAAGGTTGATCATCTAGCATCTAGCATCTGCAAGGTTCTGGAATCATCAAAATGATAAGAAATTTGGCCCATTCTTCGTAAAGTTACAAGCACTATACACAGAAATATGTATATGGGACTACCCTATATCTCTCACAGACCATGAGAGAAACAAATTTACCATATATATGAATTAGTAGGCGGTTTCCCGGCAAATTTTTTATCATCATGCATTAGTCAAAACATATTCTTTCACATGATTGGTAATGAGAGCTTCCATTTCATTTTTTGAAATTGGGGCGTTTCCAATACTGGTCTTTACCTTTAAGCCATGCACATGCCCTTGGGGGCTCTTGGGGGCTCTTGCAGTGCACACTGAAATGATAAAAAATCAATTGTGATTTACTCAACTCAATCAAAAGATTAAAAAAAACCTATATTTGATTTATTTACTTGTGTGTTTAATTGCAACTCTCTGTGAAAATCACTTGCAGAGCTGCCAACCCCATCTGAACAAAAATCCTATTTTTGATCGTTAAGTACTTTCTTGTTGTTAGACTGTGTTCGTTGATATCTTGAAGAATTATGCACAAGTACATTTTACCAGGAAGCTGTAATGAATGGAGATCCCGTCCAAGAGGCCCCTTTGAAGCCATCCGTGGCACCGCGTGTCTTTTGTTTCCCCTATCGTAATCCCCTTAATCCCCCTCCGAAACCGTACAGCTCCCTAGTAGCACTAGGTCCTCCCTTTACACACACATCCCAGCCCAGCGAGCACGGCGGCTTTTGCTTTGTGGGCCCGTATTTGGGGTGAATAGTGGTGATAACTTGACAACTTCTAGCCCTCAATCAATAAATGCGCAAACATATAACACAATTTCATTTAGTTCTTTAGGAAGATAAACCTTTAGACTACTTTCCTAGCTATGTACAAATTTCGGAAATTTTCGGAAAATATCAATAATTAAATGAGAAAATCATGATGATGAAAACCTTTCATTCGCTCTAACTCACGATTTCCTTGGTCGATTTCGCTGGTTGAAATGGCCATGCATTCAGTAGAGCCATCGGAGAACAGAAAAAGCATTTGATGACTAATATAAAGTTGCAATGGTCTTATGCTGTTAATTCTGTATTTTATATGTTATAGCTAAATACATCTTCACTGAACATGACTTAATTTTTCGGTGCCACGCATGGCTTCAAAGCTCGATGCTTGCATATATTTGCAAAAGAGTGAATAGAGAACTTAGGGAAGCAGATGGCGTTACGTAACATTTCGTACTATTTGGAATTCCAGAGAGGGACTGTGCATTGATATGGACAGCTGTTGATGGAAATGATGGTTGGAGAGGGTTACATTCCGTTTTGTTAAGCCAGGTTAATCTTAATTATTTTTCCCTCGGAAAATTCTTTCGAGACGGTATCTCCATTCATTACAGCTTCCTGATTTTACAAACATTTTGTTGAATATATGCAAGTAAGAGTTTGTCATGAATGATTGTTCAATGAACCAATGAGCTGCATGTTAATGTATTTTTATGGACCATTATAGTTGAATATAATATGCATGATTTTGTCATGACTGGTGTGTTCGATGAACCAACAAACATTTCCAAAATGCTGATGTGAGATGCTTGTTGTAGGATACTCTACAGGAAAGAATGGGCAATTAAAAACAAAAATTGTTGGAAAATCATATTTTACTGAGGAAAAATTGTATGAAATACAATAAAATCGTACTGGTTGGCAGCTCTGCACTAGTTTATCCCTTTTGCTGGCTCCCTCCTTTTGTGGTAAAACAAACACCAAGCCATCAATCAGAATGTTTAAAGCAATTATCACTGCTCTAGCTAATAGCTAACAACCTACGTGTCATACAGTGACTGAGAGTAATATGCCACATGTACATTCGGTACCCTGACAGAAGCCTCCAGTGACAACTGCTCGGGGCTTTATTTCATCCAAGATACAGGGTTAGGTTGCAAATGGGGTGCAGGTTAGGTCTAGAGTTAGGATTAAAGGGATAGTTGAGTTCTGTTGCAGAGGGTGCTACACAAAGTAATTTTTTGTGAGATAATGAAAATCTGAGGGTCAAATTTGAAAATCATCTTTGTTTGATCAAAATCGGTTCAGAGACGGCTGAAATATCCATATAACGATTCTAATATTTGTGTACCGGTACTCAACAAAAATATTTGATAATTTGAAAAAAACGTTGAAAAAACGAAATAACGCTTTTTACGTTGTATTTCAGCCAATGCCGATGTTGGCTTTTTTGTTATGGTTCTTTTATGCCCAACCAGCGGCCCATGTATTGTTATTATTAATTAATCAATTAATTAACGGTCACCATATTTTTTTGAAATTAGAGCCGAGTTGGTATGATCGTATTGGCTAAATTTCACACATTTTGGGGTCTAAAATTACCTTCATAGCAATTTTAGGTCCTCACAGGGCACTAAAAATGTCATTAATAAGAATAAGAGCAATAACCATGCACTTTGAAGGCATTTGCGGTCTGAAAACAGAACTCAACTATCCCCTTAATGGTCAGGTAGGCGAGTGTTTCATCCAGGGTTTCTTTTAATAGAAATAAAATCAGGGTCTTCTAACTCTTCTTTTGATTGGATACAGTCAAACCTGCTTTACTGACCACCTGTCTACAAAGGCCACGTTTGTTTTTTCCCTTGAAAAGGGTTTCTCATTGAATCATGTACTAAATGAACCTGTCTACAAAGACCACCTGTCTACAAGGCCACTTTTTGTGTTTCCCTTGGGCGGTCAGTCACTATAGACAGGTTTGACTGTAAAAATATTGTATCCTCTTACTTGTAACTTTTGATTCGCTTGTCGCAAAAGGAACCTTGAGTTTCCTCAATTTTATTCATTCTTAGACGCGTAGCGGCGTAAGTGACACAGGTTTTCATCCAAATTTGATGTTAGTATCATTCATGCTAATGATGCTACAAATTCCCTTACATTTTTTTCAAACAGTTTGATAGAAATCAAAGATTTAAGCCTCATAATCTCTTTTGTAATTTAGGGGGCCAGGCCTCTCGCCAAGAAATTAAAACCCGTGGCGCGACCCGAGGGACCCCCCCCCCCCCCCCCCCCCAAAAAAAAAAAAAAAAAAAAAAAAAAAGTAATTTTTTTTTTTTTTTTTTTTAATATTTTTTTTACAAGTATTACAAGTAATTTGATGAATCTTTATCATGGTATTATATTCCAGGTCATTGTCATATTTAACCTTGCACTAAATAATCTAAATTATCAATGTTATTCTATCTGTCTAGACTATGTTGGAATTTGTTATCCAATGCTACGAAGAAAACAAAATGAGAATGATCCTAGACTAGTTGTTTGGATTTTTTAAGGCTGTAATTATTTTCCTTATATTAAAAACAATATTGCATTTTCTTATTGCTTATTGCTATTTCTTAAGCTATGTGCACACAATACCATACCTGCCAACCCTTACAAATAAATCAGAATATTCTGTTTTGGGGGATTTCTAGGACCTGAAAATCCGGAATATTCTGATTTTGAAAAATTTCGATTTTTTTTTTTTTTTTTTTTTTTTTTTTTTTTTTTTTTTTTTTTTTTTTTTTTTTTTTTATAAGAACGTGTGGCGCTAGGTCGGGCCAATCAGGAATTATCTGTGTGCGCGAGGGTCTTGTAGGGGGCATCGAAGGAAGTGTCCAACAGTGCTGCGGACTTGCATACTATGATACTGTCTTTGGCCTTAGTGATCTGACAAATAAATGTATAGTTTTCAGCGATATTATCAAAACCATGAATTTCTCTGTTATCATCATGGTTTTGTGAAACTTCCTGACAACTCTGTAGGTCACGGACAAAGATAACACAAAATAGGTGACCCACTGACATTAATGACAACACAAATTATGGCTGACCCGCTATGACAACACAATTTATAATCTTTTTAGATCCACTTTATTGACAGTTTTTAAAATTGTGGGGCTCAAAATAAATCAGACAATAACTGACCAAGATAGTTGGGTGCTGATAGTCTACTAGAATCTAGGTTGTCTAGTTGTATCTGTTGATGGTCTGGATCTGGATGACTGGATCTAGATCTATTGTCTATTATTCAAACAAATTAGAAATTAGTCCAGACTCTACTCTAGACTGTAATGACTACAGAATTTAGTTAAACAATATCGTGTTTTAGTCAAACTTCAAAATACATGCAGGTAGGACCGTAGGAGCCAATTAAACAATCGTCAATACCAACCTTTTTCTCTTTCACTTTTTGTCTTCAATTTCAATTTTTTTTTATCTCCAGAGGCAGAGTCATGCTCATCAGCAGATTCTGTGTTGGCTTGGAAGTTGGATTGGATCCAATCTTGATCACAACAGGCAAATGGTAAAATAGTATCTCAGAATTTCCCCTAGGAGTATTCAACGAATTTTTACAAGAAGATGATGTTTAACTAGATTATGGAGTCAATTCAACAACAATGCAAACTAGCTGCTCGGCTGGCTGGCTGGTCTGGTGATGTGTACAGGAATTCGCAACGTAAGTCGGCCAGCGTAGCGGCATAGCATTAAACGGTACGGTAGTAGCACAGTACCTCTACGGAACTGTGAGCACTTTTAGGCCCTCTATCGGTGATTGCATGATAATAAAAATGGCAGCCTCCATGCGAGTCATGTTTCAGCACAATGTCAACAAGTTTTTGCTTACTCCCGCATCATGGAGACCAGTTGCAAGGACACTGAATGTATCTTATGCCCACAGTAGCAAGGCAGATGAAGATTCGTCTATTGACAAAAATCCCCTCTACGAGAAATACGCAGACAAGTTAAAGAAATTGCAGAGGTAAGTAAATTATAAAAAAACATTTTGGAAATTGTAGCCCCAGTGGGCAGTATCAGTAAACTAAAAGAATAAAATGTGTTTTCAGTTTTTCACCTTTTGTTTGAATTGTTTTCTTTGACTGTCTATATTTATAAGCAATTAATGAGTTTATTTCAAAGATTTAATTCATCATTGTCATTCGATTACAGACTTTTGTTAATGATAATTAATGAATAGACTCTAGGCCTAGTCTAGACCGAATTTTTCTGTCTCTTTCGTTCGTTAGCCTCTGATTTGGGTAGGTCGGCTCTCTCTTTAGAGACAGAACAGCCCCATACGCTGTAGTGGCCGCGCGTTTGTACTAAGAAACGTTACACAAAACTTGGCCAAACTTAATCCCTAATTTTTATATTTTACCGGATGCGTATCCGACTTGCCGTGACTTGCCGAAGGCAAAATGATTATAACGGAAAAACTGTGCACGAGCTACGAGTTCGTAATGACATGCACAGTTTTTCCGTTATAATCATTTTGCCTTCGGCGTAGACTAGAAAGAATGAGACTCGGCTGCAAGATTTTCTTCATGGATGTCGATCTTGACCCATAATTTCCTAAAAATGGACCATTAAACGGATTATTCCAGTCAAGTTGGTAAGTGGAACCGAAGTAGTTAAGTATTTAGCTAATTTAGGACTTTAAATGCATCGGATACGCATCCGGTAAAATATAAAAATTAGGGATTAAGTTTGGCCAAGTTTTGTGTAACGTTTCTTAGTACAAACGCGCGGCCACTACAGCGTATGGGGCTGTTCTGTCTCTAAAGAGAGAGCCGACCTACCCAAATCAGAGGCTAACGAACGAAAGAGACAGAAAAATTCGGTCTAGGCCTAGTCTAGATCTAGATCCTATTATTATTAATTATTTTTGATAATATTATTGTTGTTATTTATTTATAAATTTATATAAATTAGGTCGTTGGCATGGTATTTACTTATGATGTTATGCATTTTTACGTATTTTGCTTTAAAATTAATCCAACGATGAACCATGAACTACACACATCACATGCACTTCATGGCACTTGATCCCCTGCTTGCAACTACCGATACTCGCCTCACCCCACCCCTCCCCCCCCCCCCTCACCCCATCTCAATAAGGCTTCCTCAGCTCAGCTCACCTGTGTGAGCTGCTACACTCATCAAGTATCAAGTAACGATGTGCAGTGCCTATTCATTAATCAGTTGGGATGTCTTGATGCTTGAATTTAGGTCTTAGCAGGGTTTTAACCTGGACTAAAGTTAGTTAGCTCTTGAAAATACATTGATTTAATTTGATGTAAATAAATTTGTGAATTGGACCCTTCTTGTTCTGCAGTTCTAACCCTGAGGAATACCAAAGACGTCTTCATTTGATGAGAGAATCTGTAAAGAAAAAGGAAGATGTCACTCAAGAGCAAACTCCCACAGTGAGTATTTCATGGGTAGATCACACATCTTCTATCCCAGTCTCCTCCTTCTCCTCCTCCTCCTCCTCCCCCTTCCCCTCCTCCTCCTCCTCCCCCTCCCCCTCCTCCTCCTCCTCCCCCTCCTCCTCCCCCTCCTCCTCCTCCTCCTCCTCCTCCTCATCCTCCTTCTTTTCTATTTAGTCTACAACCAATATACAAAGTTTACCCTTTCTATGTTAAACATTCACATTTTATTGTTAAATTGATGTACTTTTTGTTTGGATGATAAACTTCAAACTTCAGAGTCTTCAGACCCTGCTTTGTGAATTAAACTAGATTAAAAAATGTTTCCGGCATGCACACCTAGCTACCCTCTGTGAAGTTTTCAAAACCGTGCTGTTATTTTTTTTTCTTCATGTCTTTCACTTTCAATTCCATGCTGTTTTTTGTTGTTGTATTTTCACAGCTATCAGATCAGCCAAGGCCAAAGTTAATGTCTGGAACCAGTGGAGAAGAGAAGGTAAAAACAAAAATTTAAGAAGATTGTTAGTGATTTGAATAGTAAAAAAAGTAGTTTGCTATAAAATCTTGAAGTATACTATTGTCAACTAGTAATCTCTAGAAAGTCAAGATCATCATGTCATCATATCAGGCGAGTGAAGATGTGCACACAGTGTGTGTGGGCAAGCACTGAATCCAATGACTGGGGTAATAGTATATTTGTAAAGGGCTTAGAGACATTGTATTAAGCGCTATATAAAAGCTAAGTATTATAAATATTATATATCTTAGGCTAATTTTAAATTGTAGATCTATGGATTTTGAAAATAAAAAGTGAAAAGAGAAGTTTAATACATGACTCACTTTCTTCAATGTATTGCTTCCCTCTCACTGTAACCCCCCCCCCTCTCTCTCTCTCTCTCTCTCTCTCACCCCCTCCCCCTGGCCCTTATCTATTGTATTCCATGTCCCTCTTCTCTTGTACTCATCTTCCCTTCTTTCTTTCTATCCATCCTTCGTTTTATCCATTCTTCGTTTTATCCATTCTTCTCTCTATCCATCACACTATATTCAGGGATTGGACTCTGTGGTCAAGGTAGATCTACTAAGAAAACATTCTGCAGAAGAAATAACAGAGGTGAGAAGAACACACTTTTTGTTGGTCAAATGTTACAGGATGAAAATGAAAGGGTAATGATGGAATGTCAAAATAGAATTTCTTAAAATACACATGCACAACAGGGCAACCTGGGTTGTTTGCTTGCATTGGACTATAATTACGTACCATTGTTGATAACATTTATATTGAAAGTAATCTACTTTTCTACAATGATACATTTCTTAACCTTAAATACACTCTACATGCTCCAAGCAAAATCTAGTTTTGAAATGCTCAGTTCTTATTATTACCAACTCTGTTAATCCTTAACATAAATATTAAAAATGTGATTGAAAAAAAATATTTGAATTGGCTTATTCAGTGTGAAATCATGTAATAATCATCTGTATTTTATGTTGAAAACCTTTCTTTTTCAGATATGGAAAGGCTTCCACCGTGAAAAGGATTTCATTTGCGCAGTCATACCTGTTAGTATACATGATTCATTTCTAACTTGATTTACTTTAAATTAGATAAACAGTTCCTGAGATGTGTAAGTCATTGGCTCAGAATGTAGATTGCCCTTTAATTTTCTATGACAAATGATGCATTTTCCTAGTGCAGGTGTATTATTGTTGTGTATTTTAACCTTTAGCTGACTGCAAGTTTGTATTGCAAACATGATGTGACTTTTAAAAATATCTTTTTCTTTCTCTTCATCCCTTTTGTATTACAGAAAGAAACCTATGCTAAAATACAGCAGAAGGCAAAAGAGTTTCCTATGGTAAGACAGAGGGACAAGCTGGACAGAGAGAGAGAGAGAGAGAGAGAGAGAGAGAGAGAGAGAGAGAGAGAGAGAGAAAGAGAGCGAGCAAGAGAGAGAGAGAGAGAGAGAGAGAGATAAAAGAGAGAAATAGATAGATAGAAATGGTGAAAGAGAGAGAAATGAGGGAGCACGTTCAACAAATCCATCTACCCACTGAATATGAAAAGAACTACCGGTAGCTGTGTTACCCCCACATTCTGTAAAATATCAATTGAGAACAAATGTGCGGCTCGTGGTTGACATGTTTAATAGTGCAATACAATAATACAACGATATAGAGTGAGTGAGAGAGAGAAAGAGAGAGAGAGAGAGAGAGGGGGGGGGGGGGAGGGAGTAGTAATTCTCTACATGTATTTCATTTTTGTGGTATGTGTGGTATGAATTGAAATAATGGCTAGGTTGGTGTCTGAACAATTGGCTCATTTGATCATCCTTATTGTGTTGTTTTTCATCAGATAACCCCAAAACATACACAAAAAATTAAGTTTTATTTATCATAGTCCCAGATATTTACAATCTTAATGATTAAATGGTATTACTTTTCTTGATTTTGTGAACCAGTTCCTGTATCCACTACCTAGGGATGAAGGGTATGAGTTCTTCTTTGCCCAATTCTTCATTGACAGCTGTTACTTCACCTCGGTCATTAATTATCAGGTAAGTTCTTATTATTATTATTACTAATATTATTAAATATTTGGCGTCACTTGTGTCTGGAGATCTCGGCCATGGATTGACAAAATAAATAACTTAAACTCGGCAATTAAAAAGAGTAATTCTACACAAATATAGATATGGAACTCAAATTTTTGTTTTAATAATCACCTAATTAAGTGCCCTTTGGAACATGTTCATTACAAGAATATTACTAAGAGAGTGATACAGGTAGGTCTTATTCAAGCTAACATTAATTCAGAACAACTTTTTGATTTATTTCAGGCATACCAAGAAAATGCTCCAGCTCTTCTGACTCTCACTCACTACACCGAGCTACAAGAAGAAAAAGGTACTGTTCCTTTCATCAATTTAGAAATTCAGCAATGTAGAATTGGCTATATTCATTTTGTGATGGGGTGCAAGTGGACTTTTAAAAAGTTTTGTAATGAAAGAATAATCTGATTTTAAATATAATTACGTGTATTTATTTTACTGAATGTTTTTATTTTATCCTCAGGAATTGTACTGATGAGGGGAGAGTTGGACACAAAATATTTGGTAAGTTTGTTGTCAAAAAAGAGTGACATTTTTGTACTGCACGCCCCCACTGGCAGCTAAGCTGGTCCTAGAACCATTTTATGTTGATGTAGTGTTCTGTTTACCGGTAGCTGCTTGTACATCACTCTGCATATCTCAAGCACCACTTAATACAGAGGTGAACTTTGACCTTGGTACCCCCGAAGATCACCTCAGAAAAATAAAGTTATTCGATTTTGGGGTACAGCATTTAAAGTAGGAAAAAGATTTATATGCAAACAGGAATATTTTACGTTTAATTCTGTTTCCTCCATGACAACCCCAAAATAAGACGGCAAAAAGGATGAAAAAAGACAGAAAATAAAAAAACACACTATGTATCAAACTCTTTCATTTGTATATATCGAGGGGTCAGTGGCACAAAGACGTAACTCCATTTTGGCCATTTTGAGAAAAAGTGGTTTATGTGTTACCGAGCACTTGGGCCTTAATAAGGAGTTAATTCATGTTTCACTAGCCATTGATTTCAATGGGGTGTTTCGGTGGAGTTAAGTCTTTGTGTTTCCTGGAAAGCCCACATTTTTCTGAACATTTTGATATCATTTTGGCAAAATATTGAGTTTCGTCTTTGTGTCAATGAACCCGCGATATCTTCCATTGTCATCCTACATGTCACTTTTCTATTTTTGTTTGTGTTGTTTTTAGACCGTTCAGCAAGCCCAGTTCTTTGCCAATGAAGTCCAGCTCTACTATGCTTCAGATGATGCAGACAGATTGCGGTTGCTAAGGGCTTTCAACAAGAGACCAGCCGATTTTAAGCATGCGGACCTGATAGATCAGCTATCAAACACAACCGTCAACTTGAGCTAACTAACTTTAATCGAGACAATTGAGAGATTTTTGGATGAAAAGTATTCCAAAGACAAAAAGGCAACTTGTAATGGTGATAACAATCTTCAAGTATTTCAACGATGACATATTTTCAGTTTGATGCAGATGGAATGTGTTTTCTAAGGAACTATATTGTACAGAAAGAGAAATTAACTGATTTCAAATATATGATCCTGATAGATCAGCTCTCCAAAACGTGAGTCGACCTGAGTTTGCCAGACTCGTTGAACAACAAAGAGATGTTCTGTTGCACCGACAAGGTTTTAAGACAGAAGGAGATGACCTTCATTGTGAGATGTGATGTATAATGGATGTCCAAAACAAAAGATTTCAACAAGAGACCAGGGACCCGTTTCACAAAGCCTTTTTTCAATGACAAATGACAGATAACCACTCAGAAGCAAGGATTTCAGTAGCTTACACCATAGACCTACCACCAACAAGAGGGCATAGTCTCAAGCTTGCAAAGCCGAGGTGTAGGACAAATGTAAGGAAGAACACATTTAGTCACAGAGGGATTGACGACTGGAACTCTCTGCCTGAAGTAGTAGTTCAGGCTCCCACCTTAGACGCCTTCAAAACCAGGCTTGATCATTGCTGGAAGGAACAGTGTCATATCTCTCAATACTCGAACTGATTTCTTTAATTTCTTAATTTTCTTTGCTCCTGGGACAAGATGCAACCTCTTGCCCCTCTGCCTCCCTTGTATATACCGGTAATGAGAATTATCATTAAAGGGAACCAAAAACTTCATACTAAGTTACTTTTATTGTAAAGTTTAAGATATTTGAATAAAATCAGTGAAAATTTGAACAAAATCGGGCAAGGAATAAGGAAGTTAGAGCATTTTGAAATGACTAGTCACTAGAGGGTGGTATTCAATTTGATGACATCATCTGTGGACAACTCTCCATGCCTTTTGTACATCAAATTTCATGTTTTTCCTTCTTTCTTGTGATTGAGATAATGTACTCCCCTGAAAGCAAGATATAGAATGCAAAATGATATTCTACTTCTCATGTTATGAAGTCGGATCAAGAACACAAATAAATACGAAGAAAACAAAAAAATTGTGAAATTGGAGAGTTGTTCACAGATAATGTCATCAAATTGAATACTGCCCTCTAGTGACTAGTCATTTCAAAATGCTCTAACTTTCTTATTCCTTGCCCGATTTTGTTCAAATTTTCACTGATTTTATTCAAATCTTTTAAACTTTACAATAAAAGTAATTTAGTATGAAGGTTTTGGTTTCCTTTAAAGAGAATGAGTACAAGAAGATAGACCTGGAAGCTTGACTGCTGTCTCAGCATTCTTCCAGTATTTGCGGTAAAGTAAAGGTAAAGTAAAGACTGTCATTTGTCACTCGGATGACAAGTTTTGTGAAACGGGACCCAGACAAGTAGAAGCATGTGAATATGATGGGTTAGCTTTCCAAAACAGTGGTCAATCTGGGTTATCCAGACTTGTCTGACAATGATGGGATGCTGCATTGAAACGGCCTCAGGACAGAAAAAGGAAGGTATGTTGAGAGGATGGCAGATGTTCGACTTGAACAGTAAGTTTTACTGAGCTAGTCGACACTGGATGATCAGTGTTTATGATGCTGGTTTTGTTCAAGCACTCATGTCTTACACTCCGTGATGCTCCTAGTGATCCATCGTCATTACCCAATTCATAGCCGAGCAGCCAGATAAGTTGCGCTCTTGTTTATCTGGTGCCCATGTACAGTTGGATGCAGAGTGGCAAACATGGATTGATTAATGTCTTGCCAAAGGATATTGGTGCTGGACGGGGATTCATCAACTCAATCCTATGATTAAAGGTCAAGAGTACCACTCTACCATGACGCCTTCTCAAGATGTGCTTTGAACAAGACTGTCCCTCAGATAGGATGTTAAATGGAGGCCCCATGAACCGGAGTGCAGCCAACTATGCATGTGAAGCAGGGTTTTTTCATTCCCTTTCTCTCTCCATTTCCCTCTGCCTCACTCTGTCCCCCTCCCCTTACTCTCTGTCCCCTCCCCCTCATTCCCTGTCCCCCTCCCCCTCACTCTCTTTCCCCCCTCCCCCTCACTCTCTTTCCCCCTCCCCCTCTTTCCCCCTCCCCCTCACTCTCTTTCCCCCTCCCCCTCGCTCTTTCCCCCTCCCCTCGCTCTTTCCCCCCTCCCCCTCACTCTCTTTCCCCCCCCCCTCCCTCTCTCTCTTTCCCCCTCCCCCTCGCTCTTTCCCCCTCCCCTCGCTCTTTCCCCCCTCCCCCTCACTCTCTTTCCCCCCTCCCCCTCACTCTCTTTCCCCCTCCCCCTCTCTCTCCCCCCCCCCCCCTCGCTCTCCCCCTCCCCCTCGCTCTCTTTCCCCCTCCCCCTCACTCTCTTTCCCCCTCTCTCTGGCTCTTTACCTCATAAACAAGTCCTATCATTCATTGTTACTGAATTTCACAGAGTGATATTTTTAGCACATCATGTAAAGAATTTATTCATATCATGTTACAATGTTGTGCTCTTCAATAAAATACTTAAAATGAAATGCTTCACACACATCTAATGTAAAGTGTACTTTATCATGCCAATGTACCTCCACATCAATTAAAGCCCCACTGCACTACCCAAAGCTACTTGCGCCCTCCATGTAGCAAACAATGCCTATATAATCGGTGACCAATGGTCCCCCATGATGGTCCCCCCTTTTTCTTATGTTACTTGAGAGCTTATTTGATGAGATAATGAAGATCATAGTTACACAATCGAACTAAGACCTTAGGTACACCATCTTGTACAGAACACATGTGGGAGGTATGTCTTCATCAGCTCGAGATTGCCAAATAGCCCGGTATTTCTGATTTGGGAAATAAGCCCAAAGTTACAAATCGCGTCTTCATCAGCTCGAGACTCGACCTCGAAGCTTGAGATATTTTGCTCAGAGTTCGCGCAGTGCGAGTCTTCGGGCTGGTAAAGATGCATCAGAAAAATAGCGGGTTATTTGGCAATCTCGAGCTGGTGAAGACAGGCCTAGGAATATAAAACATAACAAATCAAAAGTTGATTGATGAAACCGCACACATGTGTAGCATTGGTAAACATGAATTCATATAAAGCCAAGGTTTATAATCTATAGATGTCATCATTAAGACAAACGTACATTGAAAGTAAATTGACTCTTTCTTTCCTGTTTCTTGGCATGCATTTGGTATATAAGTCACTGAAAGTATAAATTCATAATACATGCCCCATCATGTGGAAAGAGATTGTCAAATAACATAATTGTGCAAATAAGTTAAGTTGCAAATTTACTCTTAAGTAAGACTAACAACTACCAAGGCACACAAAACAAAATATACACCAGCCATCCACAGCATGAGTATGTCATTCATATCTTATTTAATATCATTTTCTCTAAAAATTAATAAAACTAAAGCATCTTGACTAAGTCAGGAAATTGATACATGATAAACAATCAATAAACAAACCAGAAATTATCAAATGTGTAATTGCTGCAGAAGAAAATTATATATTCATGATGACAAATTAAGGTTGATGCATTATAATATGCACTGTAAAAAGACACAAATATTCATGTACAGATACATGCATCATGCACGAGTTGATTAAGAAATGTAGATCTTTTTTTTTTAAAGTACAGTGTCTTTCATAACTGAATGTACATGCAAGGTACCAGTAATGAATTGAATTTGCATGTTAGCATACATAGCATCAGCCACAACGTAATAAATACAATAATGCATGCAAGAAGACGACCTTTAAAATGCTTACGACTTGTGCATACCCTGTATGGTGACTGGTTAAAAATACAGTAAAACCTGTATATAAAGACCGCTCAAGGGAGACAAGAAAAGAGGGCTTTATAGGCAGGTGGTCTTCACATATAAGGTTCCTTTAGTACACGTTTCAGCAGAAATCCTTATTAAAGGGGGACAACAAATGTGGTCTTTATAGACAGGTGGTCACTATTAAAAGTAGGTTGAATAGCAGGACAGAATGGTGAAAAGTGTTAACTTGCTTTGTACACTCGATTCACACACAGTTCAAGACTCGAGTATGGTTGAATTAAATTCATAAATACATGTATATCATATATACAAATGCATCAATGCCAATAACACCACTATTTGATCCTCCTACATCCATATGATATGGAATCAATCAGTTTGTTACTTCAGTAGACTACATCTATAAATGTATACATTTCATGCAAAACATCTTGTATAATGCAATAACTGAAATACAGCGTCTGTTTAGAACCAGAAGAGCATAGTATATGAACTAACAGCAGAGTTGCCAACCTTGTACGATCAAAAAAGGAACCATGATGGCAAAAAAACAACTTATAACCATGCGCGTCACACTTCCAATGTAAAAATGTCCATTCCTCGTGCTGTTTTTTCCATACAAGCAAGAATTTTTTTCCTTCTGTTATTTTGGTATTATCGGCATTTCATTCTTTTTGAGAATATTTTTCTCTTCAAGTTTGTTTTAACCTTAGTTTTCTATTGAATTTGTGATCAAATCAACATTCTAGGGCAGTTGTTTGATGTGCGGTGTGTAAAAAAAAAAAAAAATAATAATAATAATTTTAAAACGTATTTTATGAAGAAAAAACGTACTACGGTAATTTGGTGGAAAAAACAGGAGTAATTCCGGCAAAAACGGAATGGTTGGCAGCTCTGTAACACCCTTCTGGCTCCAAACAGACAACATGTCTATGGCATATAAATTCATGCATGAAGCAATATGTTAAAGGAGCAGATAAAAATGCACCACTGCACAATATGCTACACCTGGGACTAGGTGATATGTTAGGACAAGAGGTAGAAAGATAGAGACACACACTTGACAACTAGATGTGAATTTTCCCATAGTTCAACTTGTACTGTTGAAACATAACACTCATAAATATCAAATTCATAATTAAGAAAGATTAACAATTATAGGTTGACAATTTTATTTATAATAAGTTCTTGTGTAAGCTCGAAAGAACATCAAAATGAGGTGGTGAGTACCAACTTAAGACAACTTAATAACCTTGATAACCTATTACTGATCTTTCCCATTTCAGTTTGAATAATAGCCCTTACATACACATGTATGGTAAAGGGAAATATATATATTTTATATAACTCTAGTATTTACAACTTTTAACTTACATTGACAGATGAGGGATTACTAACAACATAGATACAAAATGCAAACAAGCTAAATTCAGATTTACTTTTGTAGAAAAGGACATTAAAGGAAGAGTCTGGCAATTAAATAAAGGAAGATTACTCATTAAATTCAGGCAATATAGATTACAAATATTAATTAATATTGTGGATGGCTAAAAAAAATCAGTAAATGTTGAATACCATAACCAGAGTACTTCAATTCCATTTCAATCTTCAATCATTTCCAATCCTAGCTTCAATGTGATTACAAAAAATAAAATTTCAAGCTTTCTTTCATTAAATCCTTACTTGTTAGATTTAAAACAAATCATAAAGCTTGACAAAACAAAAACAAAACAAATTATTTGCAACTCTCAAACAGATTTATATTTTTGGCATTTTGTTTACATGTATTGCTTATTAGCCTCAATTTACATACGACATATTAATTTAATAATTATAATGTTTGAAGTATAAAAATAAACAGAATTGATTTAATATAGTCATGTAGAAATTTAAAAACTTATTTGGATTACAGTACTTCAAAAATGAATTCTCCACACATTTTCCATTTCA